AAAACGGGTTCTTGTCTTAGTTACTTTTTACTTGTTGCTGGGACAAATACCCAACACTCAAAATGAAGGAAGGAAAGGTTTATTTAGCTCACAGTTACTGGAGGGTTCAGTCCATATTCTACAGGCTCCAAGGCAAAGGCAAAAAACAAGAAGGTCAAACTCCTCGGAAGACTGGGACATCACCTGTAGCAGGAAGCCTTTCTCAATTCCTGGGCCGGGCCCACCTGCAAGGCTAGGCCCCCTCCTGAGAACTGCTGGAGCTGATTCAGCCAAGTTGACACAATGTATCAACTAACACAGTTCTAAATTAGATAGTGATGGTTGCACAACTTTGTGGCTAGATTGAAGGCTGCTGACTTGTGCTCACTGTCTAAAACAGTAAATTTGCTAGGACTATGCCTCTGATCTCAACTCTGTGGTGGCTGAGGCAGGAGAATCACAAATGGGAGACCAGTGTGAGCTACACAGTGAGTTTCAGGCAAGCCTGAGCTCTATAACAAGACTCTGTCTCATAAAATTAACTAATAAACAAATATATTTTAAAGTATGTTAATTACATTTGCCTAAAACTACTATATTTGAAAATAAATAAATCTGTACTAAGGGCCAGGGATATAGCTTAGAGGCGTAAGTGCCCGCCTGACAAGCACAAGGTCCTGAGTTTGATCCCCAGTACCAAAAATCTCTAAAATCTATACTAGAAACTAATACATCTTCTGTCATACTCCCCAGCCTTAAAAAAAAAAAAAATAATAGCCCTGTAGAAGAGAGCCAAGAGATTGTGACACACATAAATTCTATTAAGGAAATTTGGGTGTAACCTTCAAGGAGCAGCCTGGATTGTCACATTTATTTGTTTAATAAATCTAATTGAAGCACTTTTTCATAGATCAGTCAGTGGTCTAGGGATATAAGGGTGAGTGGCAGGGATGGTGTGCTAAGTGAACTCTGGGGTTTAGGGTATGTGGGAAAGAAGCGTCCCACGTGGCAAGTACTGTCACTATAGAGATGAGAGGCCTTGGCCTATAAACAAACCTATGTGGGAGAAGTAAATAGCTTTTGTTAAGCCACAGCATGTCAGCCATTGTGTAAGTGCTTTACCAAATTATTGAATTCCCAAAACTCTAATGAGATCATCATTATAGACCTATTAATAAGATTAAGAATCATTTGAGTCCAGAAATGTTCATGTATTTGTTTTGTTACTGGGGATTGTATCCAGAACCTCACACATATTAAGCAAGCACTCTGCTACAAAATACCCCATTCAGAAAATTTTAAAGTTCCAGAAAGATAAAATAACACATACACTTTGTATTATATAATACCTCCAACAGTAGTATCCTGTACTCAAATAATATTTCTTGAACCAGGGATTGAACTCAGACCCTTGCGCTTGCCATGGAAGCACTTATTCTACTGAGCCATCTCCCTGGCCCCTCAAATAATATTTCTGAGCCAAGTATGGTGGTACATACTTATAATACCAGCTACTCAAGAGGCAGAGGCAGGAGGATTGCAAATTCAAGGCCAGTCTGGACAATTTAGGGAGACCCTGTCTCTAGATAAAAATTAACATAAATGGCTGGGGATATAGCTTAGCACTCCCAGAGTTCAATTTGCAATGTTAAAACAATAAAGCAAAATCTGAAATCTAAGCTTTACAAAAAGTTTCAGTTACTAGGATTTTTTTTATACTTAAGCTTATACTTATGGAACTTTAAAAGGACTAGGAACAAAAAAAAGGGGGGGCTGGGGAGATGGCTCAGTGGAATAAGCACTTCCCTGGCAAGTGCAAGGATCTGAGTTCAATCCCCAGTTCCGCAAAAAAAAGGACTAGGAACAATCTCACCTCCATTTATGTCCAATTAAACCAAAGGAAAAGTGATCCCCAAATTTTATCGAGTCCAGGGTTATTGGAATTTATAATAATCAATTTTCTCACTTCTCTGATAAAGTAACAGAAAAAGGTCAAGCAACTTGCTTAGAGTCACACAGTCAAAGGAAAAGGCTTGAACGTGGCTCAATGCTCAGTATATGGAAGGCATCTGTTTCGGTCTCCAGCACAACATCAAAAACGCAGAGATAGGATTTCAGGCAGTGCAGCCTGGCGTGCTGGTGCAAGCCTGTAATCTCAGCACTTGGGAGACTGAGGCAAGAGGATCACTGTGAGTTCGAGGCCAGCCTGGGCTTCATAGTGAGACCCCATCTGGGAGGGAGGGAGACTTAGGCAGTGCTGTTTGGTTCAAAAACATGTGCTCCTCAGGTCCTGCTTTACCTTGGTCTTAACCATCCAGTACAAAAGTATGAAGATGAAATATAGGAAGTAAAGCCATGCTGTTTTGTTGAGCTGTGGGGGACTCAGGTCAGTAATTTCTGACACTGCCAGTTAAACAGAAGACCCAATGCTCTTATGGTCTACTGGACTCTTTTAGAATATTTTGCTGAGTTTGCACACCTATAATATTCAATAACAGAACTTAGAAAAAATGGGGTATACCGATGAATGTCCATTTTGTATCTGTGTATTCAAAGTAGTTAGGATAGATATATAGTTGCATTCTCCTAATGAATAGAATGATTTGTGCTAATGGTGTTTGTAAATAGGATCACAAGTCCGCATCTTGTACAGCAATTAACCACTAAGAAGAATATATGCAGTGTGTTATTTGTTGAATCTGTACTTCCGATTTGATTTGAAACTGTCTCATTGCTATCTGTTTATCAATAAAATTTTGAAAAAAAAAAACAAAAAAACATGTGCTCCATATACCTCATGGTTACATTTTTCTGCTGGATGGTTAAGACCAAGTTAAAGCAAGACCTATATAACTAAAAATGCAACTTTTGCTGTCTGTTCGAAAACTACTGTCCATTGGGTAGCTAAACACAAAAGATGTATGACACACATTTTTATGAATATAATTTCATGTCTCCCATGAAAGTGTCTACAGTTCAGCAGCATTGTAGAGTCATATTCTAGCAATCACTTGTTTGAGGAATATGTGTTTTATAAAACAGATGTTTTAACCAGTTGTATTATAATTGTTTTTTTAAGTATTACTACCTATAAATATTTTTTTTAAATGTGCTCCTGGGCCAGGGAGATAGCTCAGTAGAATAAGCACTTGCCTGGCAAGCTCAGGGTCCTGAATTCAATCCCCAGTACTGCAAAAAAAAAAAAAAAATGTGCTCCTGCCTCTACCCTTTACCCTTGCCAGATAAAGCCTGACTATGAAAACAGAGTCTTTGTCCTGGATACCTACTACTTAGGACTTTGCAGGGAAAGAGCTAGGACTCTCCCCGCCACTCCCAATATTGAGAATTAAGCACAAGGTCCTGAGTCTGATCTCTGGTACCACCAAAAAAAAAAAAAAAAAAAGACCAATATCAGGAATTGAAACCATGGCTTTATAAAGGGTAAGAAAGTAAGCATGCTACTGTTACCACAAAGCTAGTCTCCAGGCAGAGGCAGCCGTTGTTATCTTTTGAGACAGGGTCTCACTAAATTGTGCAGGCTGGCCTTGAACTTGCAGGCAGGCACTAATGCTGCTGAGCTATCTTCCCAGTCCTGATCTTGAACTTGCAGCTCTCCTGTCTCTACCTCACCAGTAGCTGGGAAAGAACTAGGAATTCCTAGAAATCAGGATTCTCAGAACAAACCCCAAAAGATAAGAAAATCTTTTCCTCAAACCTCCTTCTCTGCCTTCAGACTTTCCTCTGAGGACACAGAAAACCTGAGTTTCCTCCCTCTCACTGGACCTTCAGACTCATAGCTTTGAATCTCCCTAGGCAAAACTCAAAAGGGCTGACAATAATAACAGAAAGCTGGATTGAGAGCTACAGAGAGAGAAGGTGGAGATAGAGGAGGGGTGGACTTTAAGAAACATCTAGAGGGCAACCCATTCAGGAACGCTTCTGTCTCTCAGGAGCTATTCCTATTCCCCATGCCCTTTCCTCAATAAAATGTCTATATATAAATA